TGAGTTGATTTTGAGACTATTTATTTTTGATATCTGAGCAAAACCTGCTATTTCAAGATACTCTATTATTCTCGCACTCGCTTGAATGGGAGCATGAGAATGCACTCTAAACCTTGGGGCATTAGTCTGCAACAATATTGAACCAACAAAATGCAATCACTATTTTTGATATGAAATAATATTTAACCAAGCAACTATAGGCATTATTTTTGAATGCACTCGAATAGAGAAAAACTTACACTAGCTTGAATATTTTTTGTGTTCCACGGTTTTCATCGCCCATCCACAACAATGCCATTTTGATTGAGTATTAGGAATGCAAGAGAGTAGTTGATTTTTAATGCTTTGTGCTTAGAAATGCAAGAGAGTAGTTGATGTTAAAATTGTGTGCAGAAATTTGGTTGTGTTAAATCTGAATTTATAGAAACTTGGTAGTGTAAATGTGATTGCATAAAGTGACAATTGCATGGCCTTGGTAACATATATTAGGTCTTACACATTTGCATGCATGAAAACCTAAATAGAATAGGTCTTACACCATGTCTTGTACATGCAATACAATTTCTTCAGCAAGCATACACACACGCCCTTTGAGTAGACGAATTCACAAAGCACAAGAATGTGCTCGTCCAATGAATGGACGAGCAAGGCCTACACAAGAGCATGTTCGCCCTTTGAGTGAGCGAGCTCAAAGGGCCAATATTCTACACTTCATTTTATGCATGTCTTATATAATTGCATTCACCTATTATTTGTATCATAAACACTCCAATATCCTATTATTTCTACACTCCAATATCATATTATTTCTACACTTCAATTCACTAACAAGAACGTATATTTTTCACTCCAAAATGTCTCAGAGAAATATAATCCTCACGTGCCACTTAAATGGTGTTGTTTCAACAAATAGCACCGTTGGATTCTCATTCAGCAACACAGATACCTACGCCTTCAAAATTCATGTTAGTTCTGATTTTTTCCATTTGAAAGATAGAATGGAAAAAAAAATTAGCACGATGCGTTGAGGAGATAATTTATCGTCATCCTATACTTAACGAAGACGACTGTACAATTTTTTACATAATGACACTGATCAGGAACAACAGAGACGTGGAGGCAATGTTTCGGTGCCACATGATGTTTGGTCAGTTACCTACAATTGAGTTGTATGTCCAACTACTAGACAATGCCAAAACATTTCCGACGCAAGAGACACATCACACCGGTATGGAATGAGTCAAACATCTGACGACGAACCAACACAAAACAATCAACCCTTCATACCAAATGAAGAGGTTAGAGAAGCAAGCGATGACGATCTTCAGGAGGTCATGATGCAAGATATTTTTGGTGACAGCGATAACGAAGACAATGAAGATACAGTTGTTGCCTCTACGCAGCCGATTCGCGCACAACCAATAAGTTTGTACAACCCACCTGCACATATGCAAAATATGTGTTTCAAACAAGATGAGACAACCTCTGTGTTTGGAAGTGTCATTCCAAACCATATTGGTGAGGAAATATAGATTGGGATGGAGTTTGAAAACAAGGAAGCTTGTGTCTTTGCTCTGCAACATTGGCACATAACACACAGTGTTGACTATTGGGTTTATCAATCTGACAATTAACGATATGTAATTAAGTGTAAGAAACAAGACTGTAGTTTCAAGTGCAGAGCTTTCTTGAGAAAAAGGAACTCAAAATGGGTGATCGGTAAGCTGTCTGGGTCTCACACATGCACTACGACGTCTATGGCACTAGACCATAGGAAGCTCAGTTTAGAAATGGTTAACCATAGCATCAGAAAACTTGTCAACCGAGACGCCTCACTTAAGGTAAACGTGATCATTGCCCATATTCTTGAAAAACACAGGTACATAATATCTTACAGAAAAGCATGGATTGCTAAGTGCAAGGCAGTAGAGGCGCTGTATGGAAATTGGGAAACATCTTACAACGACCTGCCATAGTGGATACTAGTAATGAAAACCTTCTTTCCAGGAATCATTATAGATTTGCAAACCCTACCTGCAATTTCAAATGATGGTTCCCAAATCTTTGGAAAACGAATATTCCATCGTCTGTTTTGGGCTTTTCATCCGTGTATACGCGGCTTCGCCTACTGTAAGCCCATTGTGCAAGACGGAACTTGGTTGTATGGCAAGTACAGATGAACTCTATTGATGGCGGTGGCACAGGATGGTAACGTAAATATTTTCCCAATAGCATTCGCATTGGTCGAAGGTGAAACAAAGAAAGCATGGAGCTTTTTTCTGAGGAACCTGAGATTACACGTGACACCACAACCTAATTTGTATCTAATATCTGATAGACATGAATCAATAAAGAATGCATACAACAATCCCGAAAACAGATGGCAACATCCACCATCTTCACATGTCTACTGCATTAGACACATTGCTCAGAACTTCATGCGCGAGATACAAAATACATTTCACTTATATTAAATTTTGTATCACACTTTTATTATGTTTTTCACACAATTTCTATTACAGGTTACGCATTGACGGAGGCTATATTTAATTACTATCGCGGAGAAATCAGAAGAACAAACATTGAGGCTTCAAATTGGATAAACAACATTCCTAGGGAGAAGTGGGCTAAAGCATTTGACGGAGGGCAGCGTTGGAGACATATGACATCTAACTTGGCAGAGGCCATAAACTCTGTACTAAAGGCAACCAGAAACCTTTCAATAACTGCTTTGGTCCAGTCTACGTACTATCAAATGGGTTCACTCTTTGGTAAACGAGGACACAAATGGACCAAAATGCTATCTTCAGAGAAAGTTTTCACATATGGTTGTAACAAGGGAATGGCTGATGAGGTAGCCAAGGCTAACACACACAATGTCATGCAATTTGATCACGAAAGATTCTGTTTCATGGTGCAGGAAAAGATTAATCAAAACGATGGTCGTCCAATGGGTACTTTTAGCGTTGACCTGAGGAATCGTTTATGTGACTGTGGAAAATTTCAAGCATTTCACTTATCTTTCTCCCACGTGATTGCAGTATGTTCTAGCATACGACAGGACTACACAATTCACATTCCAGAGGTCTTCACAGTTCTTAACGTATTCAAAGTCTACAAGGAAAGCTTCCTGGGACTACTGCACGAGGAGAACTGGCCAAAATATGAAGGTTTTACACTATGCCACGATGATTCCATAAGAAATAAAAAGGGACGTCCAATCAGTCGTAGAATTAGAATTGAGATGGACGACGCTGAAAAAGAGAAGAGAAGGTGTGGAATTTGCAGAGAAATAGGTCATATGCGTAGAAAATGTCCCAATGTTGTCAGTCCGTCAAACCGACCGCATAAATAATTTTATCGTATTAATTTTGTATATTGATCCAACATTTATTTTAATTCAAAACAACATTTAAATTATAGCAATACGAACAAATTACAACCATAAAGTTAAAAATAGAACTCAGGAAACTAACATACACGCTAACCAACAACAGCAATCAACACAAGTGGATTTGTGACTCCTCTGTTAACTTCACCACTATGTGCTGAAAACATGCAATTGACATCTTCATCATTTTCTATACGATCCAAGTAATACATGTACGTACCCTCCGGGCTAACATCAGTCAGCGTTATATACGGACAATGATACTCTATTTTTCTCACTGTCATGCGACGACCGCCCAACTGCCGAAACCTCGTGTTAATTGCTGCAACCACGATTCTGAAATTCCACTGCGGATCTAGGTAAACACTAATTTTTTTTCCTTGTCCATAGAAAACAAGAGTTTGGACAGACATTTTTATAAAACGGATCATTGGGCACAAATGATATGTGCTGATGCGCAATGTCTATTTATAAATAAAAAATATTATCTTTAAGTTCGGTCATTCAATGACCGAGACTCTGTAGAAACTTCACACCTTCATGTGCGAACATCAGTCATTATTTCTTTATTTTATATAAAATAATATATAATTAAATTAATTTAATATAAAATATTTTTTAATTTAATATAAAATATTTTGATTAGTATTTATTTACTAAATTAATATAGTATAGTATTTTTTATTTTTAAAATATTTTATAATTAAAATTATTAACATATTTTATAATATAATTTTTAATATTAAAAATTGTTAAATATTTTATTAAATACTTAAAAAAAATATTAAAAAATAAAAAAATCACCCCTTTGCTCGTACAATGAGCACATTCAAAGCCCAAAAAATTTTCACACTCGCCCATTCATCCATTCAGTAGAGAGCATGCATTGTATGTAGGGCATTCACGTAAATTTTTTTCAAAATAGGATATTTTGAAATATTTTGTTTCAAAGTAGGGTAATTGGGTAAAGAAGTCATTTATATCACATTGTTCTGGAAATTTTAAGTGAAACTATTTGCCCCCTTCTAAAAGTATTTCAAGTTAATAACAAAATAATGTCCTTGATATATTATATAGTTAATCTTATTTCCTCCCTGCAAATATTATCAGCACCCTACCAGACCGCTTGGTAAATTAAGAAAAGGGTTGCCAATTTGTTAGTTATATTGGCAAAGAAAAATGTCACAACCATGCATATATCGCTAATATGATCGACGAGAAGTCCGGACATCATATTATATATAAATCAAAATGCTAACCAATTTACAGTATAAGTTTGATTAATAAAATGATCCATTACAATCCCAATACCTATAAAAATTGAATAGATCTATACAAAGATTAACTGGATATACTGTCTTTAAGCCCTAAAGAATCCAATGCACAGAAACAATGTTGAGTAAGGAGATTGATAACTCACTTTCCTCTAAATGGTATTAAGTATTGACCACCCACTTTAAAGGTCTCAGAAGGTCATCAAGAGTTACCTTCAGCTTCCCTTTTGGGCTGATAAATGCGTTTTTAATAGTCAAAATATACACCTGACTATGACTAAAGATTACAGGACATAGCTAAAGATACCGAGCACTTGAAATCTGTGTTTGTCAAACTACGGGAGCCTAGAGCGCTTTGACAGCAGAGCCGCCTTAACAATATTTCCCCTTGTAATAAGCCCAACCTTGTAAAAGAGGTTTGCAAAATAAATTAGCTGAAGTCAATGAAGTAATAACAAAAAAATTAAACTTGTAAGAGAATAATATGTTACCAGCTTTCCATCTTTGCCTACCACAGGTAGTCGACGATACTTAGTTTCAAGCAACAACCTAATAGAAGAAGTGACAATGTTAGGCATAGGGAGAACAATGTACCCAGCCAAGATTGTTATTAAAGGATTGCTGTGATTAGGAATCACATCTAATAAAGATTCAATTTCATGGATACTGATCAAATAGTTGTGATGATTTTACAATAAATAGCCAGATATTTTTGCTGTCCTCATAATAACCTAGTTAGTAAGAAATGATGAACTATTATGACATCAGTAACATAATAACCTAGTTAGTAAGGTGGTTAATAGTTGGAGGTTGGGATAATTGAGGAAAATAAGACTTGGTTATAAATAATATTAAGGGGTTGAGAGGGGGAACTATATTGTCCTTTGAGAAATTGACTTTTGAGAAAGTTAGGCCTTAGGCTTTTAGGAGACGGTAGACCCTCGAAATTATACATTGGTGTTGCTACATAATAAAAGCGATTTCTCCCTAATCTTTGTGATAAAATGCATTTCTTACAAACCGGTATCAGAGCTAAGAGGAGGAACTGTCTTGTCACTCGAGTAGGTCAGGGCCTTTGGGGCATTTGGGAAGTCGCTGTTCTTTGAAGTTTAAATTTTTGTTTGGTAATCAAGGGGATTCTTCCCTAATTGTTTGTAAAAAAAACTGATTTTCATCAGTATGCAAAATCAGTACCTGGCAGCATCCTCCAAACTAGTGGATTCATGAATAACAAGTGGACTTGGAGTCATTAAATCACCAACAACTTTGCCATTAGTCTTGCTAAGAAGCTTTTGTATCTCGTTGAATGTCTGCCATGCAACAAAAAATAAGAACTGGACATAAGTAGCCAATTAATAGAATGAAACTAGTTAACTTTAGACAATTACAATTTCCTTTCTGTTTAGGAACAAGTCACTATCACGAATCCAGGTTAAATGAAGGTTTTTCTCAAATGCTCAACATATATATATATCATGGGAGAAAGTATATCAGTGACACAACAAAATGAATGGCTTGAGAAACAGGTGCAATCACATATTCAGTAAAAATTGAAATAAAAAGTATGGTTATCTCCCGACTGCCTCAATCCTCTCCGCTTCCTTCTACCCAAAAGAAAAGGAGAAAACCAGACAACTCCTATAATCCTATATTGGAAGGCATTGATGCTTAATCTTAACAGGACTTCTTCTATTGTACCTCGTTGAAACTCTTCAACTAGATGGCTTTCAAACCATACTTCTAAAGGAAAGAAAGAGTCTTATACAATACAACACCATATTATTGGATCATAGCTGTTTGAAACTCAACTCTAGCATACTAAATACGTAAAGATGCACTTGCAGACATTAGACTTGAGACAGCAATTTTCTTCTATTTCATGACTGAGCTGTTGGATGGTTCGATGGTTGAAATAAACATTCACCGTTAACTAACAAATTTCAATATTTCTTCACATTTCCAAAACTATGATTGTTATATTTTATAAAGATAAAGCAACAGTTTAGTTGATGCAATACATACAATACAAAGTATTGAGAGCTGTTATAAAATTGACTTGTACAAGACCAGTTGAAGTCTAAAGGTCCAGGAAAGTTCACAGGAAAAATAGTTTAACCGAGAAAAAGTTACGTTTCCACATGAGGATTAACTTTACAAATATTGGTCAAGCATATATAAGCTGATATGAAATGCCGGTCAAAAAGGATCTACAAACAGAGGTTTGGTCTCAAGTATTTATGCAGTCAATAATCCATGTTTTCATTAGATTTCAAAAACCAAACAAGGTCAGAGCCATCAGATGAAAAGTGAACTCGTGTTACATTTGTGAAAGTGTTGCATGTCACACCCAGGTGAATTATTAACTTGGTGCATTAAAAGAGTTTATTCATCTTCATCATAAAAGAATAATACCAAGCAAAATTAATGCAAAATCAACACCATATAGAACCATTTGGCATCAATTTAAGATGAACTATTATATGATTGACAGAAAATCACTTGAATGTAATATCAACATTAAGGTAACAGAACATAAAATGGCTAAACTTACTTTCCAAGTACTGTCGACATCAGGAAATAGGCCTGCACCACATTGAGAACCACCTAAAAGCCGCAAACCACAATCAGTAAAAACATAGCCATAGTATGCAGAGAACATGTTTCAGAATGACTAAGTATCCGACTTGCATCAAAGTTTAACACCACCATTTAGATTCTCTACTTACTTACTAAAACAGAAACTACTGTTTCTTTCTCACAAAAAAACACGCAGGCACAAAACACACAGGTATCTTCAACCATTCAACAATAACAACAAATTTTGAAGAAAAAAATAATTATAACTCTTCTCAAGGCCTATAAGGACATTGATTTAATCATTTGCTTAGGCAATTGAAAAAGTAGTGGAAAATTTTCCATTTTTAGAGTAAACTAGACAAAATATTAATGATGTTCAAGTCTAGATACCTGATATTGTATCAATTGCTAATAAGTCATAATCTGAAACAACTCCAACCTGCATCACCCAAAAAAAAGTAACAAAAAGGAAAAACAGGTACAGTGAGTAATTGAAACAACACATCATTATATCAGTACTTGCATTGCATTCTTTTAAATACTGTAGCACAGACACCTCTGAATCTGAAAAAGTGGGTGTCGTGTTAGTGTCGTCCGAAAACACTGGTGATTACATTTAATTTATTCGACAGTGTCGGTGTTTTTGGCGTCTATAGATCATGATAGAAGTAAATAAACAAGTACCAGATTCCAGTCGTCATCGACTACAGGAAGACCACTGATTCTGTTCCTGACGAGAGCCTCCAAAGCTGTAACAACAACAATAACAAAAAGTGTAACCATACAAAATCAACATTGGATCAAATAACAACATTGAAGCAATTACGAAAAGTACCTTCATCAACGGATGTGGAGGTTTTAACAACATGTAAATTCTGCTTCTTAGTCATGAAATCGGAAACTCTATAACTTCCATTCGCGCGCTAAAACGAAAAACAAAACCTATATAAGAGAAATCAACACATGTAGCGTAATAAACAAGCTTGATCCGGTGAATACAAGACTTACCGGTACTGAATTGACGGTTTGGGCCGAGACGAGCCGGAACCTAGCGGAGGGAGAAAAACGCTGCCGTTTCGAGACGGCGGGAGAAAGAGGCGGAGAATGGCTTTGTGGTAAAGCGAACCGATGCGGAGCACCAAGTGCGAGAGTGTTAATCAAATGAATCGAATTCATTATTTTTAATTTTCTTTCTTTTTTATGAAAATTATCTCAGAATATAGTTTAGAATTAAAAAGATGAATTAGGATGATGCTATTTTAGTTGAAGCGTGAATAGGAAGAAGATGAATCGAATAATTGAATGAGGAAAGTATAATGAAGATGGAGGCGGTGGAGGAATAATAAATAAAAAGCATAATAATAAATTAGAAAAGAAAGAATAGTGTATTTATATATGAATAAAAGTAGAAAATTAGTTGAAGGAAAAGGAGACGTGAGCGTACTTTACTTTTCCGTTGAAGGCGGTGTGGAACGCGATCAATGTTGACACTGAGAGATTGGTAGTTGCGTCGCAACGGTGTCGTTTTTGTTTTAGTATCGCGTGTGTTTAATGCTTATTGACATTTCCCATTTTTGTTGATTTTGGTCCGTGGTTTCTAGTTTTTGTTGTACTTTGTGGAATTTTTTAAGCAATTTGACTCACGCCGCTGTTTCTAGAAAATAAATTATTACATCGTGTTTTAATACATTAATTAATAAAATATGATAATTTAAAAGTACCGATCTAAATTGGAACTATTAAATTAAATTTAAGAAAAGAATTTTGCTATTTAGTGAGGTCTTTTCGACTTGAGCGATTGATTTCTGCAGCAGAGAATATTTAATCGTTAAAATATAATAATAATTATGAATTTTATTATCTTATATTTCGACTTAATTGTAACTTTAATTTTTTTATTTTTTGTGTTTTTTTTTAATTTTGATCCAGTATTTTTTATACTTAAATTTTACTTTTTTTATATTTTAAATCCCTTTTAATTTAAGATCAAATTTGACATGATATTTTATTTGTTGATGTGTCACAGTCACATTTATAATTTTAAATAATTTTTATTAATTTTTTAATTATATTATTTTTAGAAAATTTGAAAAATTATAATTTAAAATTGAAAAAACAAAATTTTGTTCTGCAAAAGGATACAACTCCGCATCTAAGTGATATAGGTGTTAATTTGTTACCATTTACTCGGTCATGCTTTTTTTGTTAAACTTTGACAATGATATACTTTTTTCATTTTCTTTTACGAACAATTTTTTTAAAATTTATTAAATAATTAATATATCTACTTTTTAAAAAAAAATATATAATTAAAAATTAATAAAATTTGGATAAAAGTAGAGCAGATCGAGATGTCCTACAAGAAGCTGCAACATCTTACCACCTCTAAAGTTTTGGAGTTGTTACAAATGGATCTTATGGGACATATGTGTTGCACCCCAAAATTTGCCTTCACTTTTTCTAACTGGTTTTTACTTCGCGTTCATCTGCATCATCTTTAGTTCATAGTTCATAATCCTATTTTGCATTGGTGTTCTAAGACGTGGGATTAGGAGTTCTCTCTGAATCAGGCATCAGGAGTCCTTGGGCTCAAGTTTGTTGGCAATCCTATATCCAGCTGGTTCAGGATCAGGTTTATTTCCCATCATGAATAGGAGATCAGGATTATCAAGGACGATGGCATGGTTTTAAAGCAAGTGTGGTTGTCCAGTCACGGTCAATATCAGATGGAAGTTTGACCTAATCGGGGTCAAACCATCAATAAATGTCTTCAGTTGCAAGCTATATGTACCATTGGCTTATTTATACAATGGTGTGTAGCCAAATTCAAGTTGTCGTGTGTGGAGGTTATCAGGTTATCAAGTATTGGTCCCTGAAGAGTTTGGTTCGAAGGTCAGGATTTTATTGGTGTGAATCAGGATTTGACTCCTTCTCTGTTCGAGTCATTTTCTTCAGGACATTTCATGGGAGAGTTTATGGACAATTATCAATTGAATATCATGAGATTGGGGTTTCAAGTTAAGGGGATCAATGGTCAACATGACAGGGCATTTGTGAATTAATTTGAAGGGCATTGAGTCATGATCAATTGAGCTAACTGATTGAACTTCTTTTTTTTTGGATTCGTTGAGGATGGGAGTTTGGTGTTGATTGGGAGTTGGATTGGAATTAGACGTGTCAAGATTAGTCATGTGGATTACTTGGAATTTAAGATGCAAGCCCAGTTTTTTTTAACCAATAACCGTTTTCATGCTAATATCTATTTCATCGCCTATTTTATCTTATCAAAACCAATTACCCATTGTTAAACCAAACTCATATCCAAATCCAAACCTAATTCAATATCCATTTTACATCCATGTCAATATCCATTTTTATACCCTTATCCATTTTTACATATTTAATTCAACAAATCCATTCTTTTTCTTATAACCACTTATTTTATCCACTTTTCAAACCCATTTCTATTTAAAACCATCTTTGTTCTCACAATTCAAATAACCATTTTCCAATCCATATTCACTCACTAAACCAATTGTCCATGTTCACATCATTTTCATTTTGTTTAGAATTTAAACCGAACTCTTAATCCATTTTTTTTCAAAACATTTCATTTCAAAAATCTAATCCCCATTGTCATCCATCTTTTATTATTATTAATCATCCAATATCCATAAAATGACTTTATTTGCAAGATTCAAAGCCCATCATCATTTCACATTTTCAAAGTCCATACAAGCCCATTGATAAGTTTCCTAAAGTCCATCTCATCTACAAAATTACATCAAACAAATATTAAAAAAAAAGGAAAATGAAGTGGCATGTCCCACATTATACAATTCCACCATCCTGTACCAAGAAAGCCATGCACAAATCCCTATGACAACATCCTGCAAAATCTTTATCACATCTCAAATTGCATCAAAATGGATAAATCTGTTGCACCAATAAAATTGCCAAACTTTGCAGCTTTATGCTATCATGTTATTGACCAAAGCAAATATGTAACAGTCAGACACAGGCAAGCATTAACAAAGACTCATCATTCACAATAAGACAAATCTAGTACTTTGAAACTTAGTAGGCAAGTTTGAATTGATGGTTAAAAAGATGGGACGAGGAGAAGTTAAGGAGAGAAAGAAAAAATAGCAGAGAAAACCAGAAAAAAGAACAGCTACCCAAAAATTTTGAACATTTTTCCTACAAACAACCCCTACTTTTCTCAGCCTTCCATCTTCAATATTCAACACGGTAATTAATCTTCATCAACCAGACACAGAGTCCACATAGAAGCATCGAGTCAAAAGATCAACTTGCTCGACTCGCAACAACAACAACAGTTGGAGAGGAAGCAAAAGAAGTTAAGAGCGACGTCAACCATAATTGTTCGGCATCACCGAAGCGATTCAACAACAACGCTAGATATATCGGAACGAGCTTCACACTTGAATCATTATTGTGTCTCTTCTGTCTTCAAGTCGATAATCCTATTTTGAACTTTGTTTCGTTGATTCGTGTTTGCAATGTTTGTTTTGGTTTTCTCTTTACGGTTCGTGCGTATTTAACTTATGTTACGATGGAACAAGTGTTGTTTTGGTTGTGGAGAATAGAAATAGAACAGTGAGAACTCTCTGCATAAGAATAGAAATAGGACAGCTTTACACAAAAAGCTGATTTAGACCTCTGTTCTTGAAACTTAAAGCATCGTCTCCTCCACCTTCCATTTTTTTCCTCTAAACATATTCTTCCCGCCACTGAACCTTAAGAACCATCTCTGAAATTCCTCATCAACCACCTATCTCTCCTTTCTATCACAAACTCCCCCCATCAATTCTAATCTCACAAGCTTCAACTCAATGATGCCAAATATGTGGAACCAGAATCATGAGATGAAGAAGTGGTCAAACAGAGGAACAAAAAAAGGATTGAGGAATGGACCAAATCAAACTTGGCCGAGTCGTGGCGATTAGAGAGAGCGAGGGTTTGAACGAGAGAGCATGAGATTGACGAAAGAGAAGTTTGAAAATGTTGGTATTTTGTTCATTTTGTGTTGTTCTTGAGTTCAGTGATCAATACGATCGAGAAAGACGAAGAACGAGAGGATTTTGTAGTGGTTTTCTCAGTTTTCATCCTTTTTTGCGGTTTTAGGAACTGAGCGGTCGTGTGTTGGGATGGTAGGGTTCCACGCCCTCTTGTTTTGATCAAACCGGGTTCGGGTCAGGGGACTCGACCCGTTTTTAAGATCCATCCAAAGCCTTGTTCAGATTGGGCTTCTTTTCTCTGCTGCTTTTCACACCCTTTTCTTTTCTTTTCTTTTTAGATTTTATTTTAACTACTTGTTTTAGTTTAGTTAATTATTTAGTTTTAATTAGAATTTAATCTATTAATTCGTTTTTTTTCTTTTTTTAGACTCTAGATTTAATTAGTTAGGTTAGCTTGTTTTTGAAATTAAAATTTAATTTTGAACTTAATTTTGATTTGGATTAATTTTGTTTAGAATTAGATTTTTGTTTTTATGAGTTTTTGTCAATTGAGGTTTAATTTTGACTTTTTTTTAGTTTTAGAATTTAACTAGAGAGTAATTTAGGTTTTTCTTTATTAACTCCAATTTGTGAATTAACTAATAATTAATCTTTGTTTATGAATTATTAATTAACTTTAATTTTGATTTGGACTAATTTTTAATTAGATTTAAATTTTGATTAATTAGAATTAACTTTAGAAATTAATTTTGTTTCTTAACACTAACCTTATTTTTAATTGTTGATTAACTTGATTTTTTATTCTAATTTTTTATTTTTATTTCATTTAAATTCTAAGTACATTTGTAAATATTTTTCTTTGACGATACTTGTATATATTTTTCCATGGATATTAACTTGATGATTGTTTGTGATTGCGATGCTTCGTGTTTACTTGTCGTTTATCCCCTGTATTCACATGATCCCTTAGGATTCATAGCTCGACTTGATTTCCGATTAAATCAGAGGTAGGAGAGACATTAGGCTTTCAATCCAAGCAGGATAATCTTAGGTAGGTATCCCTCTCAATCCTGACTTTAGGGCCACTTTGTATGACAACAGTTAGGGTTCAATTTTCCCTAGGTCTTTGTGTGCGTCTCTCACTTCTCACCTTAAAATTTCTTCAAGGCACTTAATAAAGAATGGTAAGCATCG